TAGATCTGTTGCAGTTCTGTTGTGTACTCTGGTGAAAATCCTGAGAGAGTGGACACAACCCAAAGCGCTGTCTGAGGAAGGAAGGTCTGCCAAAAACTTGTGTCATGAGTGTGCAAACATTTGCTCTTTTTTCTCAAGGGTACTGACCAGAGCCTTGCTAAAATACCAAGCATTGGAAATTTCTGTGTTTCTCCCCACACGAAAGTTTTTTCCCTTTAGAGGTAGTGGAAAATATCTCTTCACATACTTAATTTTTTTGAGCTGATTCATAAGTACAAGATTTTATGTTATTTTTCTGTAATTAGTTGATGATCAGTGTATGCATCCAATCTGCTTCTACTTTCCTTATTCCATGATTTTCAGAGTAATAAGCCTGTCTAGCTAGTAATAGCCCTTTCTTCATCCCCTGCCCTTGAACAAGGGGAACTTCCTTTTTTCTTACTCAGAAAGGTTCCTCAGTTGTTTTGGTCCCAATCTCTGTCACTGAGCATGCCCCTCTAAAAGGAGCCATAGCCCAGTGTATTTTTTCTTAGGTAAGTTCATTTTTACAATATACTGTTGTACATTGTACCTTTCCTCATTTTTTATTTATCAGATGCATAACTTAATGATTATCTGCTATCACTGTAAACTCCAAAGTTTTTGTGAGTTTAAAATGAGTAAGTGTTGCACATGTTTTCAGATTTAATTCATTCATGAAAATTGATGGACTAGACCTGGCTAAACCAAAAGACCTCTCGTTGACCATGGATTGTGTGCCAGTAGACAGCTGCTGTCCATCGGCTGGTATACAATAACCAGTTCCTTTGCAGCCACTTCCTTTTTGTTTGAGCTTCTGCTTTGCTGTAAGGTTTTTTCATATTAAAGCCAAGATTTTAAAATATCAGAAGAATTCGTCTGAGATTTTACGGCAGCACCCAACACGTTTAGTGACTGTTTTTCATGGGTGGTGCTAAGGTGATTGTATTCAAGAAATAGATGGGTTTGTATTGGTCAATTTACAAATGTAAGTAAGATAACCTTAGTGCATAATTTCACAAAGCTTTAGTAATTTACTGTTGTATATCTGTTTTGTGTATACATATGCATGAGGGAAAGACAAGGTTTTAAACACTTTTTAAAAGGCATCACACAGGTGGTATTAGCTATATAATGTGTGTGTTAGTGCTCTTTAGAACAACAGAAGCTTCATTTTTGTCTTTTCCTTCATCAAAGGAGCAGAAACACTACTACCATAAGCATTGCTTGGTTTATTTTTTCTCTGTACTTTGCTAAAAAGAAAGAAGAAAAATAAAAGGCTACCTGACCATTTTAAAACAATCTATGTATGTTCAATTTGAATGTGCAAACATATTTTATTATTGTTACGGTGTGATAATTGATAATAGTATGCTACTCTTCCACTGAGAACAAAAAAAACAAGCAACCTGCAGAGATGACTCTGCAATGTTAAAATGGTTCTTAATACAGTCATTCTTCACATATGTAAATGTAGTATAAAAGCTAGCTAAAAAGGGAGAGAATGCTTCTGGCAGGGTCACTTTATTCAGCTACTTCTGAAATAGCTTATTTTGCCAAAACTCACTCAAGTGTTTTTTCACTAAGTAATCTTTTGTTGTGATGGCAAGTAAAGCATCACCTCTACCTCTTTTTACCACTAATATTAAGGGAGGGGAGTAGATTTGTTCACTGATGAGTATGTTGCCACTACAATTTCTAAAGGCTTAATTCATAGCTGTTTCCTAGCAGTTTAAAAGACAAAACAACCCACCTTGTTGTCACAGGGGTTGACATGTCAGATGCAGTCTGGCTGTTGAATCACTTCACTGCCATTACTCCAGTGCACCTCTAATGTAATCCTACTTCCATTCTTTACAGAAGAAAACTTTATCTTAGATCTAATTTTCCAGAAAGAAAATTTATTTCTTTTTGTATTGGCTATAAAATGAAGTTGAACACTAGGGAAAATGTGTGTAAATAAGGAAAAATGAATGTATGCCAGCTGCTCCCTTTCATTTCTGATAAGATTTTTAGAATTGATGTTGTTTTTTTCTTTATGATGCATGAATGTTAATGTATTGACTGAGAACCCTTTTCTCTCTAAGGCATCTGAGCTTTCTGCAAATATTTAAAACATTTCAAACTCATGCACTGATCTCTGATGTTGACTGGGCTCTCATGTAGCTTGATTAGGACAGACTCCTCTGTGTTGTAATGGAATCCAGATAACATTAATAACTCTTCTTTGCTACTCCACATCTCATCTGTAGCTGAAAGGACTCCTCTGCTCTGTGGAAGGATAGAGCACGTCATGTTTTGACGCCATGCTTCAGTGTACCGTACAGACAGTAACAGGACATAGCATAGCATAGATATTCTTGCTGAATTTTAGAATTACTTTTCCTTGGTTCTTTATCTTCCTTCAAGAGAAGATAGTAAAGCCAACCTTGATTTGAAAGGAATCCTACCCCCTCTGAGATGATGAAACTCATGCCTCATGTCAAAAGCAGTTTAGGAGTGTGTTCCTTTTTTGTTGTGTTAATTGATATCTTTATTAAACTAAGGGTAGAGTATAAGTTTGAGTAGTATTCTCACAGTTATCTCTGCTCTTGAGTTACTGGTATGTCCCTGGCTTGGTTTTGGCAAGTGCTCCCTGAGTCACAGCCCAGAGCATGGATAAGGCAGGACAAGGGACTTTGCGCAGAAGTAATACAGATAAGATTACCAGGACTGAGTGGAAAGGTTTATCTGGATGGACACAAGTGTCCCACTCTCTTCCTGGCATGTTTTATGACTGTACACATAGCTGTACATCTATTCCACGGCATCCAAAATGAATGAGGAGGAGTTTACTGAAAAAGAGGTCATTTGAGTAGAAACACTTATTTTTATTTATTACTCTGGTCCCTTGAGAAGCCTTTTTGACAACAACAGAGCTGTTTAAAAGTGATAATTTCCATGTTTTTCATAAGATATTAGTCCATGTTCTCCATTAGCTTCAATAACCAGCATTTCTACTGGAAATTACTGTTCCAGTAGCTATTCAGTGTATCACCATTCCTTGTGGTGTCAAGTACTGCTTGCAATAATAATGGGGCTCAAAAACCTTAATTACTAGTACATTTGGAAAGTTACTTCACATAGATTTAAAGCTGAACAGAAAAAAAACCCTCACTTCTGTACTAGACACAGGAGTAACTTTATTATTTTTATAATAAAAACCTTAGTGTGACCAGTACAAATTTTTTCATTCAAATGGATCCCACAAGAGTGATATATATCGTGTGTGTCAGGAACATGGGCATTTATATTGCACAGACATGTGATTGTATTAGGTTTCTAAATTACTTACAGCACTCTTAGCAGAAGATGTAGGCTTTGTAATGAGAGTTGTGGCCAGAGTGAAACTGCTTTAAAAATCAAGGTGTCTGCTTCAAAATAAAGCTAAATGGAGAAGGGCATGCATGTTTTCCTTTGCAGAAGTGTGGAGTTTTCCAACCAGTACAGACCAGGTTCCAAGCTGCCATTTTGCACTCATTTTTTTGCTGTGTCAATGTCTGCTCTACCTCCAGAGCAAGTGCCACGCTCTAACTTTGCAGTTCGGGAGTGATCAAGTTCCTTGTCTTGGGGCTTGCACAAAGATCAGGAAAAATTGATGCATATTCTGCAAAATCTTGCAGTTGGAGTTTTAGCACAATATGGGTTGAGCTGTTCATAGCACAAAGAGCTGGGCACAAAGGGTGCAAAGCCATCTCTCCTGGCTTTTCTCCTTACAACCTGCACCTCAAGTTCTCAGTTATGAGTTGGATCACATGTCTGGATATGGCCCAGAAAAAATTTTCTCTCTTCATTAATCAAGCATTGAGTGTCTGGCAGTGGAGGAGAGGGTGATGTTTGGTGCTAACCAGTGGGAGGACACCCTGGCCCTGTGGGATAGTCATCCTTTTGTGCCTCTCTCTGGGGCTCCCTCCTCACCCAGCACAGTGGAAGCACAGCCAGAGCTGGCTTGTGCTATGTGGTATGCACGGGTTTTGCCTCGCAGGGAAATGGAAAGATGAAATTTAATATGCAAGCAGAACAGGAAAGAGAGCGGATTTCCTCCAGAAATAAAAAAAAAAAAGCCTAAATTTTGCCAGCACATCCTCTTCAACATTTAAAGCAGCACTAAAACCTTTCAGGGTATAAAACATCAGAAAACCAGCATCCCTACATAGACATTTCATGGGCAGGATTGCAGGGTTTTTTCCAGTTCGTGAAAACTTTAAAACCCCACTACAAAACCCTCTTCTTCCTTCATTTAATAAGGCTTAGTCCTGTTCCTTCATGTGAAGCTTAAATTTGATACTGTTTCACTAGGTCTCTTGCTGTAGCTTTTGAACTTTAAATTAAATTTGGATTCATTAATACATTTACAAAAAGGAAAAGGAGAGAATGCAATGGAATGTGCAGGGGAAAGACTAGAAAAAGGACCTAGAGCACAAATACAGAACAAAACAACTGTCACTTCTGGCTGCTATGACTAGTCTTCACACAGAGGTAAATTTTAGCTCTGGTGAGTTTGTTTGCAATAGAGGAGTATTTACAATGGGTTTCTATATGCTGAATTGAGGCATTTTGGTAGCGACATATAATTTTGGAAGATGTGATGCTCTCGCCATAAGTCATCAGGCAAATTCCTTAGTACTGCTAATTAAGTGATGCAATAATTACCTTTTTTTTTTATTTTTCCCTAAAAGTTGTTTTAATTTTAAAATTAACACCCATTTGTAGCTAAGCAGGACTGCCCTGTAAAGTAATGGTTTTCAAACCTTATGTACAGGTTTTGGTGGTTGAGACATCGTTGCTGATTTGGAGATGTGTTTGGTTTTGTTTTCTGGGTATTCTTAGTCTGAGATAACTAAAAAGGGTTGGTTTATTTTAATGCCAAAGATTTTTTTTAAAAAAAATAAAGAACAGTTACCTGAATATTAATTTTTGCTTTGGTGCTTTTCTCCCTATAGGTTTTATGGCAGGCATACAGAGGAACCCCCAAATGTCACAGTATGGACCTCAACAAACTGGACCTTCCATGTCACCACACCCCTCACCTGGAGGTCAAGTGCATCCTGGAATTGGTAGCTTTCAGCAGAGTAATTCAAGTGGTACTTATGGGCCCCAGATGAGCCAGTATGGACCACAAGGTAAAATGCTTGCTGGTATTACAGTATGTTAAAAACAACAAAAACACACACACAACACTCTCCATTTAAAATAAAAAAATCCTAAACAAATAAAGCTGTATCCAAAGGTGGAGCTGCACCTTGTGGAAGAAGCTGTTTCTGTTATTAGCACTTTTCTCTGTATAAAAATAGTGACCTTAAATTAGGCAAGGAAATGATGAATCTGTGGCATTGCCAGGTCTATTGTTTAGGTGCCCAAGCATGTCATCTCTGTGATGAGGCTGCATTTGAACAAGCATGAAATAAGGGTCACAACACTGATCCCAAAATAGGACTTCTTTTCTTGGATGAAGTCCCAAGGCCAACCTGAAATTGCGTGGTGACTTTGAGGGTAAAGTCTTCTAACAAGGATAATAATACGGTGGCTACTGTGGAAATAGAATATTGAGCTCTAATGCATATGGTTTGTGAATCTTAACTAACCCTTCTGACTGAGAGAGACAGTTCCTTTTATTTTGCTTGTTTGACAGAATTGGTGGGGGTGTAAAACAAAAATAGAATACATAGTTTCTGCCCCTGGACAACCTTGAACTTGTCTATTGTTTTGCCTTTAATGGATAACCTTTATAAAGTATGCATGTGTTTAGGGGTTTAATGAAGTTGAAGTCAAGTCATGGAATATATAAGGGTCAGTATTTTCTTTAGGGGTACATAAAGAAGCTTTTCTATTTCTGCACTTCCTACTGTTGCTTTCTCACTTAAAAGCCTCAGAAAGGACTTGAGCCATCGATGGGAATTTCTGTAGGGCTCAATAACTTTCCGTGCTAGCAAGGATGGTTATTTCAGTCTCCCAAGTTTCTGAGAGCTGGTTCTGATGTTTGTTTGCAAGGAGCCTTGCTGCCCTACGCAATGTTCCTTTCTGTTTCATCTCTGGGTAGCGTTTGGTTTAGTGTTCTGAGCACAGGGCTACAAGCCAAGATTTCCCAGTTTCTAATTTTGGCTCTGCCTTTTACATCATCTTTCAACTTAGGCAAGTAGATTCATTTCTCTGCTTTGCTTCCCTTAACTATAAAATGGGTCTAGTAATGCCTTATAGCCATGTGTGAAGATTAATTACCTAACTCCAGTTGACTGGTGCTTTCCTTTTATTTGGAAAGCGTTTTGTGGCCATAAAATACTGTCCAAGTGCTTATTTTTATCTGCACAGTGAGCAACTAGCTTAACTGGTAAAAAATCCAGTGGATTTATGATGTGCTATCCTGACTTCCAGCTGTACTGCCGCTGCTGAGATTCCGAACCATGGGAATAGTGGGTGTCAAGTGCAGTAAAACATTAGCCATCCACACTGATTGAATGGAAAGGTTTTTGTACTAAATCAATGCATTTAAGTAACACGCCAAATACTACTTTCTTTTTTTGCTTGAGTTCAGCAGTTCTTTTCCTCCCTCTGTAGATGAAAGTGCCTATGTAATGATTTTATGGGTCATGGTCAGGAAGAAACTGCTATTAAAAAGTGAACTTGAGGGACAGGAAGAAAATGAGCATCATTGTCATTAACAGGCCATTTCAGAAGGGTTTGGTGAACAGTGTGATGGATGAAAATCATGTTCTTCTGCCAGTGATGAGTACCAGTGCACTGGTACTCATAAAATTAGAGCCTTGCAGGCTGTCAGCTCTATAGGTAACAATTAGACCAGAAGAATGCTATGTTTTCTCCAGGTTGATCTAACCATTAATAAAATCCAGGGATGAAGATAGCAATATTTCCAAGTTATATGTTTACGTGGACTTAAGGTTTTAATAGCATTTTTTTATTTTAAATGAAAGTAATCCATAATTGCAATTCTTAACATACCCTGTTACAAAGCACAATCATATGGCAGCAACAATGAATATATAATAATGTTATCCCATTTGCCTTTTTCTGCCAAAACAGGAAATACATTAAAAATTACCTGGGTTGAAACCAAGTTCTTAAATTATTAAATTAAAGTAATTCTCACGGATCTGATTTGTTTTCTATGTTTTGTTCACATAGGCCTTCTTCCAGAATATTGTTAAGCTTAGGCTAGGTTTCACAGGACTGCTTGTATTTTCATATATGCATCAAAGCATTCTGGACACTAAGCTTTTGATCCAGCTTTGAATACTGGATTTCACTATGTGCTGTCCTGAAAACAATTGCTCAAGGCTAGTGTTCTCTGTGCAGTGGAATTGCTCACTGTAGTAAAGACTACACCATTAAGTTCAGACTAGAAGTATTAGCCCCCCAGTTCATGAGAGCAGAATGATCCATTTCATGCCTGTGGTTGATTTATTTGATTTTCATGTGTTTACATGACACTTGGAACTATAATAAGGGCAGAATATATTTTCCCAGGAAGCAGTTCTGTAGTGGGTCCTAGTCCAATTCTGTGAAACCATTTCCTACAAAAATAATAAATGGCTTTGGCTCCACACTTCGTGTGTCTGGGATACAACACAGGAGCATGCAGTACAGAAGATTAATTTCAATAAAAAATTAAATCCCAGCATTTTCCTGTCCCAAAGAATTCTTAAAAATAAATTAAAGCAGAGCGAGGATGGAAGTTGTTACTGTAAGAATCTACTGAAAGAATCTCTTCAGTTTGTGTTTGGGCAACATCTAGCTCGGGGGCTAATGAAGCTCTGGTCTATGAGCTGACCATCAGACTGCTGCCATGGCAAAATGTCCCTTAAATGCACTCTAGAGAGCAGTCAGATGCCACAATCAGCTGCATCTTTTAAGACTGGGGCATAGAAAAGCTTCCTGTGATTCAGTAAAATGTCTCAGAAATGCATCCTGTCTTCCTAACTTTTCCTACTCAATTCAGCAGTAAGGCTGTTCTGTTGGGGTATAACAAAGAGAGAAATTGCTACTGAATTTGTTTGAACCACAACCCCCAGAGCTTAACTGTAAGTTAAACTCCCCTTTTGCTTGTGATAAAGTGTTTGTGCTTTTAATGTTGGACTCCTTTCACAAAAGCACTTTGCTGTCTAGTTCCCACTGACTTTAATCCTGGATTTTATTTAAAATGGTAGCATTTTAAGGATGAGATGTCCCACGTATCTTGAGAATCTGGAACTCTGAATCCAGACCCACATATGCAAGAGTCTGTGGGGCTAAGGCTTAAATATCAGCTGTATCTTGCCGAATGAAGTCCCCTAGGTAAAACCGTTCAGAGGAATTCAGAACAACACATTTAAATTGTCTGTAGAAGAATAGCCTGATGGTGAAATGCACATGTAAAAAATTTTAGAACTATTCTAAGATGCCATTTTAATACAGTGAATCTGATCTATGTCTCTAAAGCAGAGAGCAAAGCTAACAGGTAGTTCTCAAATTTCCCTCTTTTCAGTTTGCCTAGAAATGGCAAGATCTCAGAGCACTTTGTTCAGCAAACCTGAACAAAGTGGACCAGAGTTTCAGCAGTAAGTATGAACATCTGTCTTCAGCAGGTTGTTAGTCAGCTTCTTTCTACTTTATCTTCATTACACTTTTTTTTTTTTTCTTCCTGATTCCTGTTACAGCATTGTTTTTTCTCATGCATTGGAGATGTTGTCTCTCTGGGTAGAATTCTACTCTGCCGAGGGGGAGTTAGAATCAAAAATCCCTCAGATATGGAGGGGAGGAGTTGTTCAGTAGTACTGTGCAGCCGCTGTTGCCAGGCTTGTACCCACTTGAAAAGTGTGGGCTCTTGAACTTGGCTGCCTGACACGTCCAGCTGATGTGGGCTGGCCTAGCATCTGCTGCATTCATTGTGTTTAATGCTGCATCCATCTGTTTTCTGTCAAAGCCACTGCCAACAAATTACTAATCTATTAGAGAAACATGGAAATAAGATTGCACTCCTCATTCCTGGCAATTCCTCTTGTATTTTTTTTGGCTTTTATTTTGCCCTTTTTTTTCTCTCTTTTTCTTTTTTTTTTTTTTTTTTTTTTTTTTTGTGGTCTGGGAAAGGTATAAGAATAGCTAGTACTTGAGGTATTAAGGAAATGCTTAAGGAAAAAAACATGGAAAAAACCACTGAAACTTGTTTTCCTTACTAAAAAGATGTGACTTCCCTTTGCTTTTGGATGTGTATCCCTGGAGATGAATGATTAGAAGCTATTTTAACTGAGCCACATATTTTTATGGGGAAGATTTCACTGTTTTTTCTGTGTTGTGTGTATGCTGGAAAAGCCAAAGCACAAAAGATTAAATTTTTTGTCCCAATTCAAAATAGCATCAAAACAGCAGTAGTGTTTTAGCATTGGTGTTTGCTCCTCCACACATGCTGCTGAATGTACTTCGTAGACCCTAAATGACAAAACAAATTGGCTTTATGTAAATTGGACTGACAGTAGCTCCCAGTGATCATGGATATCAGGTCTGCTAGTCTAGGGAGAGAATTTGCTCCACTTTGGGAAGTGGTGTTACTAATAGCATGTACATAATACGTGCTAACTGCTGTGCAGAATCTTTGAGTACACATATACACCATCCTGCTGTATTACATTTTCCTTGCGCAGAGCAAATGGAAACCCAGAGCAACATCCAAGTTGTGTGCTGTTGCCTGTAACACATAGCAGAGCAGTGTGAAACTAGTCAACCCTTCAGTCTGTAGTCACTTATGCTGGATCAGACACGTAGCTTGAGCAGGTCTCAGCAACCAAAACTCTGGCTGGGGGCAGTGGCTCACTGAAGAGAGAATATTCAGCTGCCAGCAGCCAAGCCTAGAGGAGGAGGAGAAGTGACAGGGCAGTCTTAAGCCAGCATAAAGCTGAATCTGGAGCCTTTCATCACTGCTCAACCACATATTGGGGATCATTCTGTGTGGACTCCCAGGCAGAAACTTGAATTTTAAAGCAGAGGACAATGGTTGCTTCATTTCCTTGGGAAGCGTAGGTCCCATGCATTCTCGCCAAGGAGATCTTGTAGTAGAGTGAGTCAGTTATAGGGTGGAGAGGAGAAGATTAGCAAAAGCACAGCAGCAAGAGCACATGAATTAATTATGTGTGCGTTCAAACGATGGATGAATATGTTTATTTTAAATACAAATAGGAGTTGGATGCCACCAACTCCTCTGCTTGGTAGCTGAGGCCTGAGGAGGGGCATGGCTGATCTGCACAATCAGAGGAAGAGTCCAAGGGCTTCTGCCTTCAAATAAGTGAAATAAGCGTGGGAATATCTCAGAGTAGTCAGGAAACTCTGCTTTGTGGCATCCCACAGGGAGGGAATGGGTCATGTTTCCACTAATCTGGATGAGATGGAAATGAAGACAAGTCAAAACGGATGACTGAAGTAGTGCAATGTGATACGTTTCCTAAAATAGTTTTTCTATCATATCTTTAGCTTGCTTTTTTTTTTTTTTTCCATTTTTCCTCTTTCTCATGCTGCCTGGGTTTGTTTCTGTAACACTGCATGCTGTATACTCGATTTTTCTTGAGATTTCAACATGACAGGAAAATCAGCACTCAAATGAGTTAAGCTGCTGCAAACTGAGCACTTTACTCCAGTGACAACACAGACTGGGTTCAGCCAGCTTTTCATGCTGTCCTTCATAAGGCACCTGCTTATATGAGCATCTTTGTACTGTTGCTGCCTTTTTGTTTCTAATTTTCTCAGAGGAATTGCTCTGTAAGTTACGATTCCTTATGCTGACACAACCAAACTGAACTTACTAGGAAGCAGGTCAGTAGAGAACAGGAATCTTTCTCAGACCCCAGCAGTCATCCTCTCCAGCCCAGTCCAAATCATCTCTGTCTTAAATGGGCAGAACAGTTAGGAGCAAGAAGCCTCTTGCTGAAACTGCAGAAAGACAAAGGAGTGAGAACATGAAATTATAAAAATAAGATTCTCCCTTGAACTTATGTAATGGGCTTCTTACGTGCCACATTTCTCTTTACTGCATAAGGCAGTTGTGTACATTGTGCTGTGCTGTTAGCCCTCTGGAGGCTGTGCTTTTCTTTATTTCCTGTTGCCTTGTAACATACATTAGACAGAAGATGTTTCAAGAGTACACGAAAATCAGGTTCATAGGATCGTTCAGGTTGGAAGGGTGCTCAAGAGCTCTTCTTGGCTGACCTTGTATTCAAAACAGGGTCAAATAAAGGATCAGACCAGGTTACTCTTGGCTTTATCCAACTGGGTTTTGAAAACCTCCTTGCAGAGAGCCTGTGTAACCTTCTTGGGCAGTTTGTTCCACTGCTTCTCTGTCCTCATGGAAAAGCGTTGTCCTGACTTTGAGGCCAGCGTGGGTCACTTTAGTTCACATGTGTAAGTTCTGCAGCTGCTGACTTACTAAACAGAAATACTTGCTCAAAAGTTTTAATGATTTTCTCTGTGCTTTCTTATCATTTTGTTCAGGAAACTACTCCAGACCACCGACGTACAGCGGTGTGCCCAACACAAGTTACAGTGGCCCAGGCCCCGGCATGGGTATAAATGCCAACAGTCAGATGCATGGACAGGGGCCAAGCCAGCCTTGTGGTACCATGCCCCTGGGACGGATGCCATCAGCTGGGATGCAGAGCAGACCATTTCCTGGAAACATGAGCAGTATGACCCCCAATTCTCCTGGCATGTCTCAGCAGGGAGGCCCTGGGATGGGCCCACCCATGCCAACTGTGAATCGCAAGGCACAGGAGGCGGCTGCTGCAGTGATGCAGGCTGCTGCAAACTCCGCTCAGAGCAGGTATGCATTCAGGTGAAAGGAGTTTAAATAAGTAGGAATGTTTTCCTTGTCATTTCTGAAGTAGCTGTACAGCACTGTACAGGTGTGTGAATGATGCAAGGTCTAGCTGTGCCCTTGTCTCTGGGAGGAGATGGTGTGTCCAAAAAATATTTTTTCTTAATCATTTCCTTTTCTTAAGGAGAAAGCATGTTGTTGCCTGTTTGAATTATTCTCTCAAAAAGGTGTTGTGACAATGGTGATGATGGCCACTTCTAGTTTGGTTATTGGCATTATAGCTTTAGGAAAATCCACAGGATTACAATGACAGTTGACAAGCCCTCTGCAACTTTAAACTTTTTTGAGCTTTTGTACTTCTTTTGTCTCTGGTGAAGAGAGAGCAAACATGTCCTCAGCAGTTTACCCCTGCCACAGAGTAAGGAAGCCTGTGAAGCTGCCCACAACTCTTGCATCTACTGCCCATGTTTTGAGCAGCAGTGCTGATGGCAGTTCTCTTCTGTGGCATGTTCTGACTCCTAAACAGGTCTGCAGAGTGGGAGAGGAGGGCAGCCTGAGGGGAGCAGCTGGAGGGGAGAGGCAGAGGGAGACATGAAAACAGTCTGGAGTTGTCTGGAGTTGATACCTGCCACTTGTGCATCCATAATAGAGAACCTGCAAAAAGGACTGCAGTGGTTGGAGCAATGGTCCGTCTTATCTCCCCTTTGGGCACCAAAGCTACATGTTGCCATTTGGTTTTTGGTAAAAGGCACTTTTTTGTCCATGTCATTCTTAAAATGCCTGAATATTTGCAATTAAATTTTTTTTGGTGACATTTTTCAGACTAAGTAACATCCACATTTCCCTGGACTCAAATAACTCCTGGCATATTTATTACCTTTTTCTGTTGCAAGAAGGTCCATAATGTTGGAGAATAACACAAATCTAATTGCACTCTTCTGGTGAACATGTTTATATGTGTGTGCATTGCTCACTGCACTTATGCATATGCTTACAAAGATGCACATACATTCACCCAAATATTTGTCATTGAAGACCGGTGTTTGTGGACACTAGAGTTGCTCTTGTTCCAAGACGCAATGTTAACAAGAAGTAGGAAGCCAGTGTGTCCCTGTATTTGTTACTTTCTTGTTTTGAGAGCTTGAAAGGCAGGTGGCTACTAATTGATAAGCAGCAGCAAACTTTTAAAACAGTAACAGTTAATTTAGTGTACTTCATGCTCTTGCTCAGTAAAATAGAAACAGGCTCCCTTAAAACAGACCATACTCCAGCAGATATCTGTGAACCAGCAGTGCCTTTCTTCTGCTGGTTGTTTTAACAGACCTGTCTAGTAGGATTTATGGAAGTCTGCTTCTGTCTGTCTGGTTTAGGCTATAAGCTGATAGGTCAGGCACGAAGGAATAAATAGGCCATCACTGTAGCTGCAGGAACAGGATTTCTCTATAATCATAGAATGAAAGGAAAAGCTCACGTTTGTTGGTCTTGACAGCAAGGAAAGACTTTGTGTTAAGTGGAAAGCATTTGGTTGTGATTCAGCTTACACATTGGGCATAGTGTGTGGTGTTTGATCAAAAACTGGGTTAAATGATTGCCACTTCTATCTCACATCTTCCTCCCAAGTTGGTTTAGTAGAACTGCTTTTTCTTTCTAGCTTTGACTAGACAAAACTGCACCGTTTCAGAGCATTCCTATCACATACTGCCCACTCCAGTGATCCAGCACCTATGGATGAGCTGAGCACTCACTGAATCCCTATCACAAATACTGGCAAAAGGATTATTTAAAAACTGCAAATTAGGAGGAACTTGTCACACCACTCTCATGCCAGGGGGTTGCAAGCACACTGTTTCCCTCTTTGATCTCAAGTCAGCTGTAGGGGAGAAAGCATAATGGCTTTTGGCTATTCCTGCAAGTCCTCGAGGCTTGCATATGGAAGGAACGTATTTGACAAGGACTCGGATTTGTGATACAGGTCAGATCCAGAGAGGCTGTTCTTTCCTTCTGCTTCAGACCACCACACATTAGGTCACCTGCTTATCCCAGCCAGTCTGGGGCTGGCAGACACCCCATGTTTTCTTCACAGCACCCGAACAGTGGCAAAACTCAGGCTTCCTCAGTGCACCAGCCTGACCAGTACGGTAGGTAGCAGTGTAAACTGGACTTGCTAGGGGACCTTGGTATTTTTAAAAAATGTTTGTGAACATCCCATCTTACTGCTGAAGGAATATAAAAATAACATGAAAGATACAGAAGGACTTGCATTGTAGGGAGGATTTTTGGGTTTTGTTTTCCTTTTACTAACACCACTGTGATACTACAATGAAAATATGCATGTCACTCACTCACACACCTGCATGGATTTTGGCACAGCTCCATTTCCTTGTGCCTAAAAGGGAAATGAAGAATCGCCTTGCTGAGAAGGAATGAGATGTGTCCTTCCCTGACCCAGGCATCATCTTTCTCTCTTCATTGTTGGTGTTCTTGTCTGAAGTGGTGTGTGCAGCCACATTTTCTGGACTTGGTGGTATTGTCACTGCTGCCTAGGCAGAGGACTGCAACCCCCAAAGTATGATCCTTTTCTGAGAGATGATGTACTGCAGCAGTGATTGCAGGGTTTCTTAACAGGATTTTCAAGCAAGTTTTAGCACACTGTAGCTGAATGTGCATGTATTTGAAAAATTAGTCTCTAGAAGAATTTTTAGGAGCACTAATTACCCCTTGCAAAACATTTGCCTGAAGTGCAGCTACTGTTTTCTCACCAGAGTCCTCCACACATTTCTGTAACCATATCACAAATTACAGAACTGGGAGAAAGTATCTACGTTGGCTCCCAGTCCATCTTCACCTGAGATTTAACCTTTATAGATTTCCCTGCCATCGTGTTATTTCAGTTGTTGCCTCTGTAGGAAATCTTTAATACCCAAATTATTGCTGCTGTCATGGCAATTAACAAGTTTTAATTGCCAGTTTTCTGTTTGGTTTTTCCCTTAATAACATAGTTCATGTATGTGCACAGAAGAAGCAGAAAGAAAAGCAAAAAATTAGAACACAAGTTTACTGGTTTTCCAGTTCAAAAAACAAAACTAAGTAAAATGGGAGAGCACTTGCACCGTACTACTTTGCCTAGCTGGGAAGACATCCACTCCTATATGCAAAAATGCATGAACAGTGCCCAGCCTCTTTCTTCAAATGTGTTGAGTTTATAAGATTGAGCTGTGGAGCTCAAAAAGTGTTGGATTTTTATTACTATAAAACACCATCTTCTGTGTAGAATTAAGAATAAATTACATCATAGTCATGGTTACACAGCAGTATTTCTGTTCAGGTTGGTTGTGATCCACTTCAAGGTCAACTTGTTGACTGAGTAGCCGAGTATCAATAGGGGAGAGAAATCTATCTTCAGCTGTTAATCCACAGGATCTGTCCTTTCCCAGCTCAGGAGTCTCATTTAGACATAGAACACTGGTTTGCCTCTGCCTTGCCAAGCCACACTAAGCAGCAGCATAAAATGAATTTAAATTGCATGCATCAGAAAAAAATCTCTTCCACTGGGGCACAAAATCAATGTTCATTAACCAGAGCAGGATGATCAGGATCTCAGTGTCAGCCAGTTATACCTAGGTATCATCCTCAGAGCAGACCACCACCCTTTTCATTAGAAAAGATTAAAATCATACAAATGAAAGTGGTGGCTGTGGAAGATACTAGGTTTACACCATTTGAATTAGCCTTTGACCTCATCTTGAGGTCAGCTTCATGTTGAGCTTAGATTAATTTCTATGTCTACATAATACCTTCCCTGCAACCTAAAATCTTACGATGTGCTAGTCTGTCTTGTGCATGCAGGCCAGGGTTTGCCAAATGATAACTGCCATGTCAGGCTAGAGAAAAGAAAGATATTTTTAAGATCTCTTCATTGAATCTCTTCATTGTTTCAGGCTACCCAGAGCATTCAAGTTTGCTCTGAGTAAAAGTTCACAGCAGGCAATGTTAAATAAATCTTTAGTACCCTGTGTAGTAATTCACTTTACTTTCTGGAGGGCAGTGTGAAAGAACTACAAAACAGTGTTTTCCTTTTTATATTTGTCTGGTCTTGGCCTCAGCATAACCATTGACTGGTGAGGACTGTATGTTGAAGACCTAATATATCCATGGAAGAAAAGACTCTTCATAACTTAGGTTGGCATTGACTGAAACCTCAAGGGCTGGTTCTGCTGCTGGAGAATAGAACCCAGAGGAGACCTCAAAGGACCAGGTGGCTCCAAAAGATCTATTATCACTCTGTGATTCTTAGAACAGCACATACATTTATAGTGATATAGAAATGTTCCTTTGTATACAAAACTGCATCACAATAAGCCTTAAGTAAAAACAAACAGTTCTAAGCAAAGGAGATACTGTTTTCCCTGTCAATGTGAAAGGCAGCAAATTTAGCCCATATCTTTTACTACCAGCCAATGTTGAGCTCCTCAGTTTGTAAATGCCCAGCTTGAACCTTTGCAGGACTATGTGTGCACTGTCTGTGAGCTTTCGCTTCCTACAGCAAGTTCTCAGTTTAAAATTGATTATCAGGTTGGCACCTGAAGTCAACAGACATCTTTAGAGCTAGATGCTTGTCACCATCAGTTTCAGCATTTCTCATGCTAGCAGTGAGTGTCATTCTGAGCGTGTCTTCTTAGCAGTTGAAAGTGTGACTGTAGTATATGGAAAGGTAAAAACATAATTCTAAAATAGCTGGCTTGCATGCTGTTAGTAGTGTGGCCTTAGAAGATGCAATTCAGTGCTAGCTGGCTATAAAATGTGCATCCAACTGGATGCTAAAATGAGCCTTTTGCTGGTGCAACTACAGTTATCAATACCTGAACTAATTACAACAAAATGAGTTTTGATGTGCCTACATGAGGAGCAATCCTATCTTTGAAGGCAGCCCCTTTGACCTCAACATACCTTAATATGATTCTCAGGATTGCATGTTGCAATTTTGTAAATTAAAGCAATTTTTTTTT